GACTCTTGTACAGCCCATCACTTCCCAGCCTGTACTGGTGCATGGGTTTATTCTGCCCAGGTGCAAAGCTCTGCACTTCTCCTTGCTGAACCTCGGGTTTCTGTGTAGGTTGCTGTCTTTATGCATATCAGCCATCTCTTCATGATTTAGTGTCATCAGCAAATTTGATGTGCCAGCTATTTTGGACCATGTGGGGATGGGCAGGGAGGTGTCAGCAACTAGCAGTATCTCCTGGATTCTCTGTCTTGTGCTCTGCCTGGCTCAGCTCTGCTTTGCACCAAAGACCCATCATGGTACAAAGGAGCAGAACAAGGTGAGCTTTCTGCTTTGAAATAATATTTTGTCCTTCCTGGGGAGAAGACCTTCAGAGAAGTTTGATTTCTATTCTAAAAAATAAACTCGTGTTTCATATCTGACTAACTGGGTTCTGTATTAGGACAGAGACCTTGATCCTGTTTGGGTTTGGCCGTCACTTCAGTGCAAGTCTTTCTCACTGTGGCTGAATAGGCATAGGTGACCTTCTGAACACTTCTTTATTAATAAACATTGTATAATTGAGGAAAAAATAGATACTTTTCTCCTGTTTATAGGTCCCTGGGTAGACATGCCCTTGACATTTACATGGGGTACCATTCCACTTGCAACTTTAGTACAATTTAATATACTTAAATATCAGATATGAGTATTTATATTGAATATGAATTCAGTGATGTTATGAACTTGCAGAAATAGCGCAGCTGCCAAGTGAAGCACTGCTTGAATTCTTTTTTTTTTTACCTGAGGAAAAAAAAAATAAAATTCATTGTGTTAAAAGATTTCTAAAAGTTTTGCAGCAGCAAAATTTTCTGTACTTACAGCAGGTATCAGAGGATACCAAGCTAAACAAATGTGTTGTTCTTTCTGTCCAGGAAAATTGAGGAGGCTCTCCATTTTGAAGGTTGATCAGAACAAACTTATTCAACTAACGGATTCAATTGGGGACTGCGAAAGCCTTACTGAACTAGTTCTCACAGAAAACCAGCTGCAGGTAAGCATAGTCAGGGCTGCTCAAATGGCTGGCGGCAATAAGACCTGCTGCTAAGTGCTGAATCACTTAGCTCAGAGGTTACTCACCCTTGCTACTGCGAAGTAGCAAGTTCACTTTAAATTCATCATGTGTCTTACCTGAATGCTGAAGATCAAGTTGGGTGTAGTAACAATCCACCTTTCCAGAGGCTTAAGCAATTACATATTCACTCTTGAATCTTTCATGACCAGTAAGGGAGTTGGAACACATGCAGTGCAGGTATCACTTACTTTGTGTTTTTAATGTGGGGTTTGTGCCGTGTTATGTAATTGCCAGTTTTTGCTGTGCATTATCTGCATCAGACTTGCTGGAACTGAATAGAAGCCCCAAGCACTGCAGAGCTGCTGTTGTACTGCTCCTTGTGCTGCTGATCTACCCCAGCCAGGTTTTAAATGTGATATGTGGTCAATTAAAATAATATCTCCGACTTCCTTCCATTAGGTGTTTCCTTCATTATTTTGAAACTGCCTTCACATGACACTGACGTTTGGAGACTAGAAATGTTTATAAAAATCTAGATTTGAGCATTTCTTAAGTTAGGGTGGTACTTGGTTGAGTTAGGAGCTTAGACCTGTTGGAAAGGTGCCTCTCCAGAGGTCAGTTCATAGCACCTAAGTTAGAAGCTTGCCTCTCAATTAGCTATTTAGGGAGCCTAAAGTTAGATAATATGGACATTCTGCATACATGCTTCTGCACACAACTGTTGGGCATCTATCATCTTAGTGCTGAGATAACTCGTGAGTGGATTTGTATTAGAAACTGACTTTCTTGGACATTTCTTCTGCAAGATAAAACTTTGGATCTCCTTTGAAAGGTCTCATAGTGACAAGGGTAAACTACACTCCAATTTTAAAAATTAATCAGTTTATTAATTCTATTAAAAGAAATAAATGCTATTAAATTAAATACATAATCGATTAAATATATAAATAAGTCTATTAAGTCTATTAAAATTAATTAATTTTAAAGTGAGATAAGTTCTGTTCTGACTCTGTGAATTTACAGATTCTCTTTGCATATTACTTTTTTTGTTGGCACAGTCATTGCCAAAGAGCATCGGAAAACTAAAGAAGCTGAACAATTTGAATGCCGATAGAAACAAATTAACATCTTTGCCCAAGGAGGTAAGTTTTGTGCAATTAACTCTCACAGATGTGATTATACAAACAGAAAACTTTTGATTTCAAATGCCTACAAGAAGCAGCAGGCAGCTTTGATCCATTGAATATTCTTCCCAAACCAGTCACAACCAGAAACTTGTCCATTTAGATCTGAACAGCAATAAATCAGAACAGCTGTGGTGATTTGGTGGCTTGGAAGTGCAACATGGCTTTGCAGTCGAACAAGAAGTCTCTGTTCTAATTAGCTTGTAACTATTAATTCTTAGTATGGGTGTCAGGTCCAGCACTGTTTGAAGGCTGGGAGTTCTGTAGGAGGGAATGCATTTAAACATTAATATACCTCTGCTGCACATAGAATAAAAATACTACTGGAGTCTTCCTCACCTCACTCTTGTGAGCAATAGCAAAGGGAAGGTTTCATATTCTCAAAAATGATTCGGAGACTGTTTTGACAGTCTTTCTGGTTTTGGAGATCTTGGAACGGCTTTTGCCTTTAAATAAGAGGGCCTGACCTGACCAAGATCACTGATACCTCCAATCTTACAGCTGTGATCACTAGAACTTCTTGTCTGTCGTACCAGTACGTGGAATGAAATGAAGCTAGATTCATTTTTAATCTAGCTAAATTGAATGGAGGCCTTACAAGTTTAGTTCAGGAGTATATTCTGGAAATAGATCAGGGGAAGCAGCATCGTGCGACTGGAGCAGAGGACTGTGAGTTGGTTATGTTAGCACTGCTGTTTCTCCGTAATTTTTGTCCAAGTAGTTCTCCCCCTTAAGTTTCCTATCTGCTTCTAGTGCGGCTCTGAGGTCATAGCTTTTGTTCACCGTTTTCAGTCACTTCAGGAGCAGGTGGCAGCTGATGGATGGGCGTTGAGAGGAGTATCAGCTCTGGCTAGTGAGTGCACACTTTTGCTCAGGCCTGCTTACTTACGGAGCTCGGGCAGCTTGAGGAGGAGGTGTGAGCAAAGTGTCTGGAAAATGGGAAATGGGGAAGAGGTGATGGTCTGAAGAGGAGGGATTGAGCAGGGGCAGAGGATGCTGCTGTGGCACTGGCAGCTGCAATGACAATGGCCCAGGTCTGAGCTGCCACAGGTTGGTCACCTAATTGGGGCTCCACAATAGCCCTTATTTCTTCTTTACAGATTGGCTTGGAAGTGTGTGTTTTATGAGGTAGGGAAGATGAGGGAGGGAAGAGAAGATGTGAGTACTGCAGCTCCTCTAGCAGGACAGTGTCTCCTCTGTAGAGGTGCTGCTAGTTCTGAACATAAAATTGCAGAGGGTATATCCAGACAGGTTGCATAAATGCTAGCAAGAGGCATGGGTTGGGATGTAATGGCAATTTTGAGCTTGTGCTCATTCAGCAGAAAACTTATCATAATAGCTTATGTTGTGCATAAACACTTCTTAGTTAATGAGGCTCACAGTATTGGAGATGGTGCATGAGGGTGGCTTGGAAGGAGCAGGGACAGGAGCAGGTGAGAAGAGGAGGTTCAGCTTCAGAAGCAGGTAAAGCAGAGTGAATACTGAGTGCCTGTTTGTGGGGAGCAGGGTCAAGGGCTCAGTGCAGAACAACAAAGGAATTGATGCTGAACAAGAAACTGGAGTCTTGGAACCAGAAATGGGTTTCAGAAGTGGAGGGCATTGCCTGGTCAGTGAAGGAGTTGGGGATATCAAAATGTGAAGTAAACAAGAATGTGTGTGGAGAACATTAGTGCACATGAGAGAGAGGGGAGGGCACACCTGCACAAGAGGTGGGATAAAGTCAGGGTTGAGGCTGATTTTGGAGAAGGTGAGTGAAGAGGAAATGGAAGGTGATATCTGGCATGAGGTGAGCTGGGGAGTTGTAGAAAGTCCAGGAAATAGAGATGGAAGAGCATGGCTCCCAGGGAGCTTGGCAGGGAAACAGAGGAACCAGAGCTCCTTGGCATCCACTACTTTAAAATAGAATTTTTTTTTTCCTGTAAAGGTCTCCACACCTGTGTATCTTTCTCATTAGAGCAAACACTGTAATTACATTTAGTGTAAGATTTCCAGAATGATTCATTAAAGTATGTGGATTTTAAAAATTATTTTATTTTTTAATTTTTATAAAGTATTCCAGTCCTTCTCCAATTGAAGGGTCCTATCCACCCTCTAGATCAGTGGATTTGAATTCCAGGCTGGTAATGGTAACAAATAGAAAGCATAAACAACTGAGGCAATGGCTTGTCTCAAAAATACTGTTAATATGCACGAATTGCAGAACCTAGCTAATGAGTCTTTTCAGTTTCAATTTTTCAAGTTTCAGTTTCAATTCCTTGAGCTTAGGCTGGACAATAAAACACTTTTCTCTTAAACTCTTTAAATTGCCTTCTAAAAATCTTGAAATGCTAGTTTGGAAAACTGAAAGAAATCTACTGCTCTCTGCTCATGTTTCATCTAGAGCTGCATTTTCCTTGTGTAGTATTTTTCTTAACCAGTAGCTTTTTGCTTTAAACCAAATGTGCACATTTCTGTAGTACAAGGTTTCTGTTTAAAATTCAGAGGAACTCAGTGAAGGGTCACATTTCATAGCTCTGAAGGCTATGTTCTGCATAAACAGAGTGCACAGGTATAACCAGTACTGTTTGCTGTTACGCAGAGCACCCACAGGAGCAGCTTCAGGGGTGCTGCTAATGGCAAAGATCCCGATTCTGAATTTTCCCTTGCGTGGTGGGAAGGAACAATTTGGTGTCTTGGTGAAATGTTCAATTTCCATTTTCCTTCTCATCATTACTGATTTGGAAAAAAAAATACAGAATGCATTGGTAGAGCACTTAAGAAAAACTGAAAAATATGTCACCTTTTTTCTGTCTGTTGGAAGGTTCTGCTTGACAGTGAGAAAGCTTGCCATCTTTTCCATTTATTTTCATCTCAAACTGACTAATTAATATTTAAAGCCAGGCACAAACTTCTGACAGCAGCCTGCTGTGTGTTGCTTAAGATGTCTCCTGTGATGGAGTGGTGAAGACTGGGGTCTCAGACCTTTGCATGTCAGTCAGTGTTAGTACTTGTACGCTGGTTCCCCTTCCACAGGAGCAAGAGTCAGATGCAGAAGTAGAGTATGAGCTGAAGATATTTTTGCTTGGTATCTTCCCCTTTTCCTTCCTGCTTTCTATTGTTCTTTCTCTGCTTACAGAGTGCTGGAAGAGCTGTGCATTTGTGATCTTCATCCTGATAAGAAGTAGGTGTTCGACAGGCCTTTACTGGTTTCTGTTGGACAGGGACAAAGACATAGAGTCTGGTAACATGCATATAGAAAAAATGGAACACTGCTAGGGAGCGGAGAACGTGTAACCAATATCATATCTACCTGCTGGTGTCTCTGTCCTTCCCTCCAGAATTATTTCTGTGGCAAAGAGAGCCTTTATAGATAGGATGGCAGAAATTATGTGCCTGGTCTAATGTGACCTGGTGAGATAATGTGACTTCTAGCTTTCTTGTGGTGCTGTGGGGGTTTTTTGGTGGTTTGGGGGGGGCATTGTTTTGGTTTTTGTTTTGTTAGCAGTTTACTAGGATTGGATTTTGGGACAACCTGTCAAATCATTGCATTACCACATTGTTTCAGTGCACACTTGTAAAACCAGTCTCTACCTTTTGCTGTAAGATTTCTTGACTTGGAGTTATTGAGGAGTTTGTATGCAAAATACTCCTTCAAAGTTTCCTGGTTCAAAGGTTCTTCTGTATCTGGTGCCGATATATAAAGTAAAACATGGAACAGCTGAATGTATGACCAAGACTTGAGTCACTGACAGATTTTATCTTCAGTATCTCATCTAGAAAATCAATCCCTCTCTCACTGAGCTGAGTGGCGAAACAGACTTCAGCAAGAACTGAGAATGTCTAAACCTGTTCATAGTTACAAATGTTTTTCCACTTAAACTTGAAAGACCTGCCTGGTGACTCTTTGGTATTGAAATCCCACCCTGGCACTGGAACGCTGGTGAAACTGGTGTGTTGATTTTGGCACTTGCATAAATAACCTCCTTGGAATGTTTTCCAGTTCATGTGCTTTTGTTAATGAGTCTCTGCAACCTGCAGAGATCTGGTAGTGTGTCCTTCCTGGCTCTGAGTTATAATGCGAGAATTATTGCTACAGTAGGTAGTAAAAAAAACCCTGCAGGGGTTTTCTTGACAATAACAGTGCTTTTTACGTTTGTTTGTTTGTTTTTTAACAAGTTCCGACCACTTTATTGTTTCTGGTTTTAACTTCCGATGTCCTGTGCCTTCCCTCATTTATGTAAGAATATGCATTTGTGTGTCTGAAAGGGAAAAAGGCGCTAAGGAAAAATGCAGGAAAACTTGTCCTGAGTTGGAGAACAGAGAAGCTCTTTTGCTGTGCTCCTCCCATACGATTCACCAGTGGTGCAGGGGGTGTCAAAGTGAGTTTGCTGAAGATTTTCCTACCCAATTTAAAATTAATAATGACTGAATAATAGCTAATAATAGCAAATTGGTCCATTTCTTCCATCTCTAAATGTATTCTATGCTTGAAGTTAAAGAATTAATCAGTTTTATCTGGGGCCAAGGAAAATTCTGACTGTATTTACTTTGAATCCAGACAAAATTTTGGTTATGACACCCTGGAAAAGATTTTACCACCCAATAGGAATTGTGTTTAAATTACCAATGTGTTGATCAGAGTAATATAAACCTAGTGAGAGTTCTTGATGCAGACATCTGTATTGATAGTTGAATAAACGAGATGTGTCACAGGACTTTTATCTAGTCACATGGTAAAGAATAATCATTGCAGTATTTGTCATAACGTCGTACTTTTTGGATTGCTTATACCTGTGAGAAAGATGTTAACTGGTAAAGGACAGCAGAATTGACTAATAGCTTTCGAGCAGTTAAGAGATACTGAGATCAAAAGTTGTTATTCAACTAACGTAACTCGAAGGTCTTCTAAGTTTCCCACCTTTAATTTGTGTTTTGGCTTCAGAGCACTAACAACATGAGGATGCGCCATTGTAGTCAGTGAAATTTGGTCTGTGGTGATGAATGACTGTAACCGACAGCTGGGCTCAAGGGAGGGAGCACATGGGAGTTTTGGGGGGGATCTAAATGGGAAGAAAGGGATGAATCTGTACACTCTTCTTGGGTTTACCTCAAGAGAGCTGGAAGGGTGTCATCAGCAAGAAAAATCAAATGGCAACTACCAGGTTATTGTAACAGAGAAGCGCAATAGAAGTTGGGTGATCAAAAATACACAAATACTGCAGTAGAGAAGAGGAATCATCAGAAACATCAGCAGAGAAGTGATGTGACAAGACTTGCAGTTCTGGCAGACAGTTCAAGATGGACTGGCAGTGGGTATGTGAATGTCAGAAAAGTGAGAGACTGAAGTGGTAGACACTGGTCACCATCAGAACATAGAGGATGAGAGAGTTTTAACAGCCAAGCTGACATCCTCTCTGTGTATGCCCAAGTCTCACTGCTTATCCAGAACAAGGAAGCTGTTAGAAAGATGAGCCTCTGACTGAGAGAGAATAAAACAGCAAAAAAAATCCTGCACAGATGTAGAGTTTAGCGGGCTAGGTCCTAGTGACACTCATCCTCTGAAGCAAGTCCACCTGAATGCAAATAAGCAGTTTTGTTCAGACTTCACATTACTGTAAAATGAGTGATCTCAAAAATAGGACTTCATAGTAATGAACATTTTCTCTGTGACTGATGTGTGGGTTTTGTTTTTGCGGTTTTGTTTTTGTTTTTTATCTAGGCTGACTGTTCTTTGGAGATGATCTGATGAGACAAGTGAATAACCCTTAAATTAAAATTGCTAGAATGAAATAAATTTCAGGACTATGACTTAGATATGCACAACTCATTTGAGACCTTTTCGTGATGTTTAGCTCACTACAGAAGAACGTGAGG